GGTGCGGCAGCAGGCGGCGGCAGGCCACGGCAGGGCGCAGGGCACGGGCTGCGCCTCGGGGCTGGCGGCTGCGGGCGGCGGCGGCGCTGGCAGGACGCGGCGCAGAGGAGGTGCGCGGGCCCCGCACTCAATTAATGATGTTATTAAACAACCATCGGCGCACCGCGTTGCTTGCAGCCAAACACCAGGTCTATCCAGTGGTGCAGGTCCTGGCTCACGTGCTCACCCTCCAGCGCCTCCCGCTGCAGCCGCACAAACTCGTCGGCTGCGCGCCAGGGGGCGGGAGGAGGAGGGGAGGGGAAGGAGGGGCTGGGCGAAAACAAGGGGGTCGAGTGTGGGCCGCAGGGGGGTACTGGCACTGCGCATGCTGTGCACGCCGTGGTCGGTGCAGCGTGCAGCGTGCCACACGCAGGTTTGCCAGGGGCGCCGCCCCGGGCCGCCCCTAGGCTGCCACCCCCAGCCAGGCCAAGGCAGCCACCCCGCACCGGAGCCCTTGGCCCACGGCGGCAGCTCGACGTCCCCTAGCGCCTCCCCGCCCTGCTTGCGCCCCAGGTCGAAACCGTTGGTGTTGAGCAGGAACTCGGGCTGGTAGAAGAACTCGGGGGTGAGCTCCTTGACGTCTGGAGGGGGTGAGGGTGAGGGTGAGGGTAAGGTGTGGGTAGGTGGGCTACGAAAAGAGGAGGGCAGGAGGCGGCGGCCGCCTACCAGGCTCGCGCCGCAAAAAGATAAGCTGCAGCGTCACCGGGAGCAGCGGTGTGCCGTGCCCGCCCCGCGCCTCGCCGCCGCTCCCTGACCTCGGCCACCCCACAGCCACCCCGCCGCAACACACACACACACACACATACATAGAGACACACGTACAGACACACACATGGCACACAGGCACACATACAGACATACACAGACACCTACAGACACCTACAGACACACACGGCACGCACACACACGCATACACACATGCCGCCGCCGCCGCAGCCCACCCGCGGTGTTGTCCAGGCAGTTTTGCCAGGTGGCGGCCACCGAGTGGAACAGGCGGTCGCCGTGGTCAAAGCGCCCGCCCTGCAGCGCTCGCCCCATCTTGGTGAAGGACTCGAGGCGCAGGAGGTA